TATGTTGGGACCAGCAGTGAGCATAATGGCTGTCGCTGAACTCCTATGTAGTCTACTGTGGGTCAAGTCCCGGGCCCAGAGGCTTAAACTCAAACTGCGTGCATGTGCATGTGTGCCCAAGATCCCGAGAGGAGAATGGAGGAGAAGGGATTGCGGTGTGGCCATCCCCCCTGGGGGGTGATTTCTCGCTTTCTGTCTCTATGTCTCTCTCTGTCTCTCTGGAGAGTGCACGTGCTCTGTACCAAAAAAAACCTCTAAAAATAGAGTATTGTATTCAAGTCATAAAGCTTAGTGACTTTCCAGTTATTTCATATTATTTTTATTCTAGTAAATGATGTAAAATATACTAACTATAAATAACATGGACATATTTCTCACCATATTTTATGTCTTTTTAATCTTTTTACTTTTCACAGGTGTGTAATTATGTAACTGTGAGGAGGTTCACCAGATGTCTTTTTTTTTTTCTTGAGTGTGAAGGTTTTATGTGTTTTGTGTTTCTTTAAGCTTGAAGAAAGACATTTTATAAAGACAAATCATAAATGTAGCCTACATTAAACATCTACATGTAAAATGATAATAAAATGATTGTGAAAGCCTTCAGATAGCTATTTGTATGAATTGGGTCATATGGGAGAAAGAACCTTACACAGAGGAGATTTGTTATGGCACCTGAAAGAAGCCAAAAGATGAGCATGTTTTATGTTTTATAATCAGGAAAAATATTCACCAAGCTAGCCCAGCCCCATGACTTTGTATCTGAGTTGTACCAAAACAAAAACAAAAACAAAAACAAAACTAAACAAAAATAATATGTGTGTGTGTGTGATATATATATATATAATACACAGGTGCAAACTCATCCTTATCATCTAAGAAGTAAGTTAGCATTGCAGCTTTGAAGCCACGAGTCCGTCAAGTCCTCTCCCACCTCTGCCCCCACGGGAGTGTTGAGAACCCAAGACTTCTTTGCTTTGCTTTGGAGGGACTGGAATTCCAGTGATCTCAGAAGTTCCTCCGGCACCATCAGCAGACTATCGTGAAGGATGCTGGGACTGGTGGGGGTGGGGAGGTGCTACCTGAACCAAGAGCCCTTGAACAGGAAAGACAAACCAACCAACAGACAAACACTGGAGCGGGCTGCACAGCTACTCTCAGGTGAAGTCGCGTGATATTTGATGAGGTTCTCGAGAAATGCACAATGTAAGTTTTGCACGTCACCATAACCAGCTTAGTACCTCGGACTCATGTGACAACGATTATATGTTTAACTTCAGAAATATTCATTGATTAATTATTTCCTGAAACTAATGTCTTTGTGTTTTTCTTTTAAGGTGCAAGTGCTCACCAGGAGAGTCAGTGAGAAGAGAAGTGAGAAATCAGCCCCAAGGAGGGATGGCCATGCCACAATCCCTTCTCTTCCATTCCCCTCCTGGGATTTTAGGCACACACACACACACACACACACACACACACATACCCTGCATGATTTTCAAACCACCAGGTCTGGGACTCGAACCTCTATTTGCCCTGTGGGAGTCCAGTGCTTTAATCACCATGTCACTCGCTGGTCCTAGTAATGTTACTTTTTAAAGATGCACTGAATTCTAATAGTTTTAATATAGACAAAAATATGCTTTGCTGTGTGTTTTGATGGGCCACTTAGGAAAGGTTGAATTTGAAAAAGCATGAAGATGAGAGTAAGTTGCCGGCGTAGTAACCACATTTCAGTAGTGGAGATGTTTGGTGAGACGGGGCGGACAGCTGACTTCAGAGCAGCCCGGGCCCATAGCTCAGGAGACTAGCTGTGCATTTATGGGCCACTACATTTTCTGCTCTGGAAAACTCTTTCTACTCCCTCTCCACATGCAGGATTAAATACCTACATACCCAGAAGGCAACTTTAAATAAGAAAATTCGGTGTGTTACAGGAAGAAAGCAGACTAAATCTAAGGAAGACAACCGGTGGCATTGAGGGCAAACACACACGTCAAAATTCCTGTGCACAGTCCTTCCTCAGCTTAACAACCTCTGTAAGTGACCTGAATTTAAGACGACCTTACTTTGCACTATACAAACTCATATGCACTTGCCAGAAAGACAGAGAGAAACAGAGAGACAGAAAGTGAGAAATCACCCTCCAGGGGGGATGACCACACCGCAGTCCCTTCTCCTCCATTCTCCTCTCAGGATCTTGGGCACGTACGCACTGGCATGAGTTTAAGCCACTGGGTGCGGGACTTGAACGGTGGTCAACCACATGGGAGTCCAGCGACATAGCCATTACGTCCACTGCTGGTCCTACTAACTTTAGAATTTTTAAATGTTGAACACATCAAAATGTGTAGATAGACTGACATATACAACTGATTTTTTAAAATTTAAGTCTTTTTTTTTGTTGTTGTTGTTGGTAGGGCATGTGTACTCAGTAGAGAGACAGAGAGAAAGGGAAGTGAGAAAGCACCCCTCCCAGGGATGGCCACGCCACAGTCCCTTCTTCGGTCTCCCAGTTTGGGGTACACACACACATGCACCTGGCGAGTGTTTCAAGGGCTGATTCTGGGACTCTGGGCAGTGGCCCCTGAGGGATCCAGCTGCCTTCAGCACAGCACTGGTTGGCCAGAAACTAATCTTTATTTAAGTTAGAAATCTCCTTTCTACTACTATTACTGAAATTCCTGTTCTTTCTTAAGAATTAAGCATTTTGGGGGCCACTAGTTGGCTTAATGGCTATCTCACTCGACTCCCATGTAGCTGACCGTGGTTCAAGTCCCAGACCCAGTGGCTTAAACTCATGACAGGCGCATGTGCGTGCGTGCCCAAGATCCCGAGAGGAGAATGGAGGAGAAGGGATTGCAGCGTGGCCATACCCCCTGGGGGGGGATTTTCGCTTTCTGTCTCTCTGTCTCTCTCTGTCTTTCTGACAAGCGCGGGCAAAAACCTATAGCAAAAACCTCTCAAAAAAAAAACACACACAAAGAATTAAGCATTTAAATAACTTTCTGCTAAACTCACAGTATTACTGAGAAACGCGGGCTCGGAGATTTGTGTCTGGCTTTTAAATCAGGGAGTGCATAGAGGGAGGACAACGTGCATCCACAGACAGTGAGGTGAAAACGGCTTAGACCGTATAGACCTTCCCCCTATTTTAAACATTTATTTTTGTCGTGTACACATAGAAGAATTCCCTAGGGAGTAAATGTGTCTCCTTCCCTTTCTATTCTAAGACCAGGTTTCTACCTGGCTGCCATGGTCCCACCGGCCTGTGGATCACCCTCCCCATTTCTGGGAAGCAGACATCCGAGAGGAGACACAGAGCAGTGCGTGGACAAGGGATGGGAGACGAGCCTTTCATCCATACAGTAGCTTTGCTAGCCCGGGATAAGTGTGGGGACCCCAGCTGCCTCCACCACACACTTTAAGATGGAAAACCAGTGAAATCTTAGTGGGTCCATGCTTAGAATCCATACACATCCCCATTTCTCAGGAGAATCCTTGGTTAGAACTTTCATGATATTTTCAAAAAAGGACCCTGCTGAGGAGACACAGCCTTCCCCTGCCTGTCAGCAGAAGGCCTCACCGTCCTCCCAGTGTGTCCCCGGCAGCCACCAGGAGCCTCTGAGTGGCTGCAGGCCCAGGCAGCTTTGCTGTTCTCGGGCTGATCATCAGGGTGCCCTCCTCTCCTTCTCATGTTGAGCAGCTTCTTGCTTTCCATGTCCGAGTTTCCTGCTTCTTCCAACATTGAAGAGTGTAATGGTGACGGGCATGAGCAAGCATGAGATGACACAGTGGTGGTGACTCCCAGTCAAGGGAGACACTGACGCACGTAAGCACGCTGGTTTTTTTTTTTTTTTCCTAGTAGCCATTGAAAACAAATAGAGTAGAAATACTAAGCAGTTTCTTTTGAGTTTGGTCGTTGTTTAAAGCTGAATTATGGAAGGTAAGGGGAACACATGGCTGTGTTGCTCGTCTGAGCAAAGTCCAAAACCTGGTGTCACAGCGAGATTTCCAGGGCCCGGAACAGTCACTAGTCTATATAAGCAAAACCTTGTTATCACATATAAAAAAGCTTAAAACTGATGTAATCATCTTAAGGTTTTATAAAAAATAATCTCTTATTTTGTTTTTGGTCTTATATTGTAGAAAAAATAGCATAGAAGCAAAGGATTTTAATTATTCCCTCGGCAATAACATATACTAATGTACTATATTGACAATATCAAAACATTATCTATAGAAAAGACAATTTTTCCATATTTATATAATATGATTTCTATTAGTTCTGTTTATTTATACACACACACACACACACACACACATACACACAAACATACCAGGGAAAGCCTAATAGATTTGAGAGTTTCTGGTAAGATTTTCATGTACCCAAGCATGGTAATTACCTTCTGGGAAGTAACACATTTAAGTCAAATGAATAGTGACCGAGCTGCAATCCTTCTTCAGCATGCTTCTAAGCAATAAAGCACATAGAGTGAACACACACACACACACGTGAAGGATAAATTAGTCTGGCTTGTTTTAAGCAATGCAGATCTAGAAATAGATTTAATTTCCAAAGTACGACTCTGTCATCTCTTTTAGATAATGTATGTGCATTAAAGCTGAGGTATATAGTAACTGTATTTAATTAAAATCATTCATTTAAGTCAGTGCTTTTCGTGAGAATTCCTCTGGCTGAGTTACACGCCCCTCTCGGAACTACTAACTGTATTTAACTCCTAGTGAAGACAGAGGGGTAGATCTTACAGACTACCACAGCGAACACTGCGGTTTCATTCCACACGGTTTTCTTATTTATCAGTTTGAAGCTAACTTTCTCCACTGCTTTTCAATTCTTTCATTATTTTGTTCTCTTCACATGGGTCCTTAGCCTAAGGAGACTAAATGCACACCGAAGAGATAAGGACTTCTGTCCTCCTCCAAGCTAAAAGAGAACCTCGAAGTTAGAGAGTTTACAGTAAGCCAAAGCCAGTGTCACATACCTTGCGGGAATGAATCTCTTTCACATACAATGGAAGTAGAAACTCAGATATACCTTCAAGTCGAATTCCCTTCTTGGTGACTCTCAGATTTCCCATACCATCCTACAAGCAATGAAATATAATTCACTTTTAGGTTAATTAGAGAATGAATAACTGGCCATACTTTTCTTAGGCCTAACTTGAGAAAGCAGTGAGTTCAATTCAGTGATGATTTAAGGAAAATGAGAGATTGCATCTACTCTTTGCATGCATCCAGAGGGCTCTGTTTAAAATGAACAGGAAAAGGGGATTACACAGGGCTCGCGTCTTCCCGGCTCTGTCGGAGAACAGGATTCACCGCTGAATAAATGCTTGACTTTCTCCATGTGTCAGTCCGTCCCACTAGCCACTAGGTATAATAATACTTGCTACTTGATTATTGGAAGCAACTTCATTTGTAAGAGAGCTCTAGAACTATGTTCATGTTACAAGTATACAAAATCTACTATATTCAAATAGTCACACTGGCACAATAATTTTAATGAGTACTTAATGATTGAGATTAGTAAGCATGGCATTTGAGTATTCAAAACATAATACATCTAGGTTCTACCCTCTGGAAAACCAGTCTGTCAGGAGGATAAAACAAGTATGCAAAGAATCTTTATGACACAGAATGAAATAAGTAAAGGCAGAGTCCTACTGAGAATTAAAGAAAGACGATTTCACATCTGGCAGGCGAGGAAGCCTCGTGGACGAGACTGACTATGATAAAGGCCTTAAGAACGCGCAATGTTAGGAAGGCCTGCGGAAAGCAGAACAGAACAGGGAGTATCGTGCAGGAAATGACTTGCCAGCCAATTGGCTAATTTATCTGTTCTCTACTTGGGAATTGGGGGGCGGTAACAACTGGATATACATTCGGGAGCCAGAGAAAAGAAAGCCATAAATGCAAAGCCGAGGAGTCTATAGTTAGGCCAGATTGAAAGATGAAGAAACAGGCAGTTCTTCAATAGCTCAGGTGAAATTTGCAGGCTTGAGGGTAAAAGGATATTTAGCCTTGCTCTTTCTGAATTTGAGGAATCAGAGCAAAACATAGATTATATCTAATATTATAGACAGGACATTAGACGGGGTAAGGGAATGCTGTTTGTTTACGGCGTAGCGTACAGGTGTTTCTCTGCTTACTTTCGGGGTTACCTTCCAATCAGCCCATCATCAGTTGAAAATAGGATACATCAGAAATGGATTTAGGGTCAGTCTGTGGCCTAGATCACACATGACTGGCCATCAGGTTTGAGTCTTGGATCTAGCAGCTAGATAAACACACCAGAGGGGTGTGTGTGTGGTGTGGTGTGTGTGTATGTGTGTGGGAAGTATGTGGGTATGTGTGTGTGTATGGGGTGTGTATGTGGGTGTGTGGATGTGTGTATGGGGGCATGTGTGGATGTGTGCGTGGAGGATGTGTGTGGATGTGTGTGTGTGGGAGGCGTGTGTGGGTCTGTGTGTGGGTGTGTGTGTCTATGGTGTGTATGTGGCTGTGTGGATGTGGGGGGGCGTGTGTGGGTGTGTGGGGGTGTGTGTGTATGTGGCTGTGTGTGTGTGTGTGTGTGTGTGTACGTGTGCGGGTGTGTGCCCACGGAGGGGGAGATGAAGAAGGACTTGAGACCGGGCTATGCTCCATGGGAAGTTCTTTCTTGCTCTCCCGCTCCCTGTCATTCTCCATCAGGTGCTTGTGCCTGCTAGCAGATTTTTTAAAAAATGCATTTAGGGAACCAGCAGTTAGCGTAATGGCTACGTCTCTGGACTCCCACATAGTCAACCACGGTTCGCGTCCCGGACCCGGTGGCTTAAAACTCACACCGGGTGCGTGTGCGTGTGTGCCCAAGATCCCGAGAGGAGAATGGAGGAGAAGGGATTGTAGCGTGACCATCCCCCCTGGGGGGTGATTTCTCGCTTTCTGTCTCTCTGTCTCTCTGTCTGTCTGGAGAGCGCACACGCCCTATAGCAAAAACCTCTCTAAAAAGAAAAAAAAAAACAAAAACAGGAAAATAACTGATGTGAATTAAATTTGGGAGAAAGAAAAAACTGAATGTATATTTTTTAGTGACTTTTGCCTTAGGGTGTGTGCCCTCACTGGAGAAAGAATAAAAAAGAGAAAGACAGAGAGACAGAGAGACAGAGATGTGGGAGGGAAAGTAAGACATCACCCCCCCCCATGGGGTGGGGTTGGTCATCCCATAATCCCTTCTCCTCCTCTGTTCTTCTACCTTTATTTTTAATTTTAATGTTTAATAGTCAAACTAAAGGAAAGGGAGGGTTAAGCGAGAGGGGCATTTTAAAGTAGAGAAGTCTCACTGAGAACCAGCAGTTAGCATAATGGCTATGTCGCTGGACTCCCACGTAGTTGACCACGGTTCGCGTCCCGGACCTGGTGGCTTAAAACTCATGTAGGGCGCGTGTGCGTGCGTGCCCCAGATCCCGAGAGGAGAATGGAGGAGAAGGGATTGCAGCGTGACCATCTCCCCTGGGGGGTGATTTCTTGCTTTCTGTCTCTGTCTCTGTCTGTCTGGTGAGCGCACGCGCCCTGTAGCAAAAATCTCTCCAAAAAAAAACAAAGAGGTCTCACTCTTCCCATAGAGGAAGAAGTTACTGAATTCTGACCGAATCATATTAGGGATGAAAGTGAAGAAATTAGTTTCTTGAGGTAAGGAAAGAAACTCAAACCTGTCATGGGAAATGCTTTATAGGGAACCACCCAAAATTAGCGAGTGAGTGAATTTTGAGCCAAACTGAGGAGTTTTCTGGTGAGCAAACACATGTCTTTCTGCTGGGGCGAGGGCAATGTACATCGTTTCCTGAGACGGGGCTGGTGGGCAGCAGTTTTACAGCGTCCTCTTCCACTTTCAGCGATGAAGTGTCTCTGATTGAGACATGGCTGACACGGCGCCCATTCCCTGGCTCTAATCGAGGTGGCCGTGTGCCCTTACACCACCCGGGGCAGAAACCGGGGGACTCCCGCGAGGGCAGCGAAGGCAGGCCTTGCTGGGCAGGCGTGGGGGACCACAGGGTGTGGCAAACGTGGCCTTCCCCAGATAGCCGGCCGCTGTTTCCTCACTGGGAGTGACACGCCAAGTCCGTGGGGGCTGCCAGAACGACAGGCAGAGAACGGCGAAGGGTGAGAAACGGAAACTGACAAGCTACCCGACGTGAGGTGTTGCAAGGCAGATTTATCATCAGAAGGTGGACTTTGGAGATCGCGAAGGTGAGAGGGCCCTAAAGAGCACCAAAGCAGTGGGGGCAAAAGTAGAGACAGAGGTCTCCGGAATTCGAGAGGTCGGGAATGTTAGGTAGAAGGCAAAATGAGACGTGGGCTTCGACAAAGTTCTTTGTCGCAGAGGGATTTTCTCGACTGCGTCCCAGGCAGTGCTGGCCAGAAATTTTTCAGCTGTCTGCGGTGAGGACGTGCTCAGAGACGTCCCCGTGGAACTGTCACCAGGACGTGATGTCATCTGGTCTGGGGAACTAGTGCTGTCACAATGTGACTGTCATCTAATGGGGACCTCAGGCATGTCCTGGTGAGATGATTTGGGCACCTAGCGTTAGGTGGGCTGTTGCCTGTGTTCTCTATTTAATTCAGGGGGAAAGATTTTTCTCTGAAATGCAGTGTGCTTTTTTAAATAATATGTCTACATAATACGCAATTTTAGATAGATAAATAACTGTACTTCATTTAAATTAGATCATTAAATTCCCCTGGCTATACATAGGGCTGTTCTTACAATATTTTGTTGTGAATGTCATCTTTATCTTCCATGTTGTTTGGTTCCTTCTTTTATTTTTCCTGCTTTGTATGAAAAAAAAAAAATTCCCGGGCCAGCAGGTGGCATGGTGTTTAAGGGACTAGACTCTTATATTACCAATCGCAGTTCAAGTCCCAGACCTGGTAGCTTGAAAATCGTGCCAAACATGGACATTCCAGGTGTGCCCAAACTCCCAAAAGGAAAATGGAGGAAGAACTGCAGTGTGGTCATTCCCCTGGTGGGCGATTTCTCACTTTTCTCTGTGTCTCTGGTTAGCGTGCATGCCCTACAGCAAACGTCTACACAAATACATAAACGGTTGTCCTGTACTATTAGATGGTATTATAAAATGCATACAGGTGTGTGATACGTGCTCCATGTATACTCAGCCTGACCCTCAGACCCACTAACAATTTACGAGATGATGGAGTGGTCTGGATTTTCTTCTGTGGGAGTATTAAAGTGCTAATTTATTCTTTCTTTCTTTATATATTTTTTGAAGAGTTTTTTGCTATAGGGCACATGTGCTAGTCAGAAAGACAGAGACAGAGAGAGAGATAGAAAGCGAGAAATCATCCCCCAGGGGGAATGGCTGCAACGCAATCCTTTCTCCTCCATTCTCCTCTTGGGATCTTGGGCATACATGCACACGCGCCGGGCATGAGTTTAAGCTATCGGATCCGGGACTCGAACCGCTGTCTACTATATGGGAATCCAGAGACATAGCCATTACGCTAACTGCTGGTCCCTACTGCTAATTTATTCTTACTGTCACTAGAGCTTCCTGATTCACTGCATTCTTGGTCCATTCAACATTTCACAGCAGAAGATCATTTCTGGATCTTGTCCATTCAACATCTGAAAGGCAGATCATTTTTGGACGTTCTATTGAGAATGACGGAGCCCTGAAAAGTAACAAAATCTGAGGTGCCCATGGACCACCTTCATCTTGGTTCTGCCACAGTTTTGTGTGTGAGAGACACTCAACGAATCTCTCTGTACCTTAATTTTGTCATCTGTGAAATTAATCACAGAACTCCTGTATTTAGCTAAGGACTGCATAAAATCTAAAGAGCTTAAAATAGTGTCTAGCTTATATAGAATTACTCTATAGTTTAGTAATCTTTTATATAAAAGTTTTAGTTTTTATCTCATATGTTATCATGAAATGTATAGTGTTTATTTTCAGTATGATTATTTTGAACTTCCGTAAATTTCACATCTAATTTTTATCACCATTACAATTATGACGTTTTATTGAACATCTAGTAATCTCGTGTTTCCACGATCGGAATGTGGCCCCTCCAAATTCCAGGTGCTGACAGGTAGTGGCCAGTTTGATCGTAGTTAGAAGTGCGGTTTTTCAAAGGTGATCAGGCCATGAGGGTTTGTCCCTTATGAGTAAAATTAGGGCCCTCGTGAAAAAGGCTCCACACGCCCTTCGGCCTTCTGCTTTCCATTACGTGAGAGTAAAGCTTTTCTCTGCCCCAGCGGACACGCCAACAGGTGCTATCTGGGAGCAGAGAACAGCCTTCATGGTACATCTGGCCTCTGCCACCTCGACAGTTGATTGTCCGGTCGCCAGAACTGCAAGAACACTCACACACAACATCATGTGTATTGCGAGTCGCTGGGTCCAGGCCTTGAACTGTTCAGTCAGCCATGTGGGATCCAGCAGCCTTAACTCACTCCACTTGGCTCACCAGTGTGTGTATTTTTTTTTTAATTGTCAGAGAGTGTGTATCACTCACCAAAAGAGACAGAGAGACACATGGAGAGAGAGAAAAAGAGAAAGACAGAGAGAGAGAGAGTATTCCAAAGCTTTCTGGTCATGCTGCAGTCCCTTCAATCCCTTCTCCTCTACTTCTCCATCCTGTTGAAATTTGGGGCGTGCACACACTCATACATGCACACACACACATACGGTGTGCTTTTCAAGCTGTTGGAGACCGCATTTGAACTGTGGTCAGCAATGTGGGATCTGGCTCCCTTATTCACTAGACCAACTCTGGGGTTGGTTGAGTTTGATTTTCAGTAATTATTCATTGTAGGTTGTTTAAAGTTAATATTGTAATAACAGGTTTAATCTGTCTCTAATCAACACATTTTAAAGCAATGAACCTGTCTTTTTTCTTTTTTTTTTTTTTTCCTGTGGGGGAGGCTTTTGCTATAGGGGGTGTGTACTCCCCAGAAAGAGAGAAAGGAAAAACCCCCCCCCTGGAGGGCCAGCCATGCCACAATCTCTTCTCCTCTATTCTCCTCTTAGGATCTTGGTCATGCACACACACGAACCCGGCATGAGTTTAAGCCACAGGGTCCAGGACTCGAACCATGGTCAACTACGTGGGAGTTCAGCAACATAGCCATTACGCCAACTGCTGGTCTCAAACCTCTCTTCTTTTAATGTCTGTCTTTTTTCCTTAGTGACACTATGGCAGTTCAAGATGGCTTTATCTCCCGCCGAGCAGTTGCTGCCTACCCACCGCTTGCACTGGTATTTTACCTTGCTACTCCGTATTCTTGCTCACAAGCCCATAATGTCGCCTTTCTCTCTGAATATAGAATCACGTCCTTTGTTTTAATTATTTAATGTGCTTTCTAAATAATTCCTGGTGATGATTACTTTTAAGAAGGGAGATAAATAAATCAAGAATTTCTACTATGGCCCTAACCTCTCCTTTAGAATGACTTTCAGGGACCTTTAAGTATCTCATGCAACCTTTCCTTTTCCAGGTTTTCTGCTTTGGTCATCACCTTCTCCCACTCACATGCACTGCCAGCACGTCTTCTCAGAAAAGTGTACGTTTTACCACTGACATGTTGTAATTCATGCATTTTACGCGATTCAACTCATGGTCACACCTATTTCCTTTTAATGCTTACTTATCCTACAAAGCCCAGTACAAAGACTGCAATTGGTTTTTGTTTTGTTTTGTTTTTTGAGAGCTTTTTGCTAGAGGGTGCGTGCACTCACCAGAAAGACAGAGCGAGACAGAGACAGAAAGTAAGAAATCATCCCCCAGGGGGATGGCCATGCCATAATCCCTTCCCTTCCATTCTGCTTTCAGAATCTTGGGCACGCACGCACACGTGCCCGGTGTGAGTTTAATCCACCGGATCTAGGACTCGAATCGCAGTCGACTACATGGGAGTCCAGCGACATAGTCATCATGTCAACTGGTGGTCCCAGCGATTGTTCATGCCCTATTCAGAAAGAACATTTCTCTCTACTGTGTATTTCCAAAGCATTGTGTTTGTATAACATGTATCATGTTCTTTTTCTTTTTCTTTTTTTTGGGAGAGGTTTTTGCTATAGGGCGCGTGTGCTCGCCAGAAAGACAGAGAGAGACAGAGAGATAGAAAGCAAGAAATCACCCCCCAGGGGGGGATGGCCACGCCGCAATCCCTTCTCCTCCATTCTCCTCTAGGGATCTTGGGCACTCAAGCACACGCACCTGGCATGAGTTTTAAGCCACCAAGTCCGGGACTCGAACCTCGGTTGACTACATGGGAGTTCAGTGACATAGCCATTACGCTAACTGCTGGTCACCACCACCACCCCCCCCACCCATGATTTTCAAGCCATCGGGTCCGGGACTCGAACTGCAGTCTGCCAGAGTCCAACTCCTTAACCACCACACCACCTGCTGGTCCCACACCCACCCTTCCACATGTCGAAGTAGGCAGAATAATGTCGCTTTATATATATTATGAAAAAACTGGATTTATCACTTTTATTGTGCAAACTCTGAAGGAGACCTATTAAAAAGGAGTTGCCCTGTTTAACAAGGATGCTCAAAAAGAGGTAATTAAAGAGTTGAAAGCTCCCCTGTTCCCACAATGTTTATCAAGAGCCTACCATTAAATTCTTACAGTAGCCCTCCCAGCCATAAATTCTAGAAGTTAGGTGAATACTGCTAGAGTGTTCGTCTGCTGAGAGGATGTCACTGGACTTTTTTTATTTTTAAGAATTATTTATTATTGCCAGTTAAAAGTGTGAAAGGGAGGTAATCTCAGGTACACGTCTGGGGTTGCACCTGATTTTTATTTGTCATTCATTACAAGACTTACTTAGTCCTTTAAAGAAGGGCCATGTCTCACCTTGAACAAAATCACATGTCTGGACCTTTAAATTAAGGACAAGACCTTAGGGTACAGTAGTCCCATAAAAATCATGTCTGGGAATTCCTTTCAAACTCCCAAGACAAAGTCCTCGACTTCTAACCCAGCTATGACGCTACACACTGCAGCTTGATACTTAAAGCACTTTAACAGGTACAGAGCCAACGTAAAACAAGCACATTCTTTTCCTCATTTTCCGTAAAACAGAAGTAAGTGAGGTGAAGTGAATTTTATGGCACTAGCAAGCCACTCAGTCAGAGCAGAGGTCCAGAGAGCACAAGTGGAATTTATTTATTGTGGCACACAACCATCTCCATTCCT